TCTCTCTCTCGCTCTCTCTCTACCATTAAGTAACTTGTGCATTGTTTTACTTACTTGTTTTTGACGTATATCCGACCGAACTACAAACTTTTACGAACTTTCTCTGTGAGAAAGATATATTCACTCGACAAGCTCGCGCATCTGCGCCGCCGCGCGCTCAATCCACTCCGCGCGCTTACCCTTAACTCTTTTCTGCTGTCTGTTGTTCTGTTGTCGGTGTTTCTTTGTTTGAATATGGCGCTTATCACATGCTGTGTGGTATCGGCGTTTGGTATCGGGGCATTTTAACGAGTACGAGTACAGGAGCTCAGTATCGGGCCCGATACCGATACCAGTATCGGTGCATCCCTAATTCTTGATGATCATTTTAATACCACAGCAGACACTAATATCCTGTTGAATGCTCTCCTTTATTTAAAACATTACATATTGGACATATATAATCAAATATATAACAAATAAATAAGCACATTTAAATAAAACAATAGCAAGTACAGCATGACACATATTTCTTAATAAAGTGAACTTTGCTTACAATAAAGTTGTAGGCCAAAAAAAAAAAAAAACTCAAATAATTGTATTAATTAAAAAAAGTCTTTAAAAAATGCTCTTATGCTCTCTGTTAATTACCAAAAAAGCAATGTTTAGTAATATAAAGGGGTCCATTATGTGCACAACCACATGATTTGTGCATTTTCAAACTCAATTTAAATAAATAGATAAACATAAATCAACATTTTGCTCTATACTAGCTAGCTAAATTTGCAACCCTGCATTGTTTTATTTATTTAATTCTTTCAGCTATTTTTAAATATCATTTTAAAAAGATTTGAATCTCTTTGTTAATTTAAGGGTTTTATAATTTTGATAACAGGGTTGCGAGCGTATATGCTAATGTGAACTAAAACCACACATGCAGTATTCAGTTTGATGTACTGATGTAGTACTGCTTTCCGTCGGCTTTTTGTTGAACAAGAACGAAGGTTCGACTTGATGTTTATCGACTGAATCAGTGGATTCTCGTGTTTAGAGCTGGTTGTGTTTCGTCTTTCCTCAGCCAGAAAGAAGCAGTTTCAGATGATGAGGAAGATGCATTATAATGAAGGTATGAACATTAAACTAGCCCGACAACTCATCGCCAGTGAGCTGGAAGAGGAGGAAGATGAGGATGAAGAGATGAAGGACGACACAGAGACCGAGGACATCACCGTTGACCCCCCACAAGACGGTAAATGAAGACAAAAATTAGGTCTTGCCAGTCATATGTGAATAACACTATTGATCTGCATTGTACGACACATGTAGTTTGGATAGTTGCTTAAAATGGTAAGTCTTAACCAAGAGTAATGTTGAAAAGAAACTTCCACATGCTCTGGGAGGACTATGATGCATCGATCGAGTGTGAAGATTTTTTACTTCGTTGCAACAAGAGTCTTCGAGCACGGTCTGTTGATCACTAGAGGTCCCCTGAGATGCTGGAAGGGTTTCCAGATGCTCTCTCAAGATCAATTCAGGACAGAATACTTCAAAATAGAGCAGAAACTCTGCTTGTTAGCGGAGCTTGATAAGTCAAGCCATCACTATTGCTATTGCTTGTTTTTGGGGTTAGTGATTTGAATACATTTTTAAGCCGACATATTAACCCTGTCTGACCCTGGAGAGCTTGACATATGAAATAATAGTAAATAGTGTTTTTTTTATTTTTTTTTATCAAACTGTCTATTGAACCTTCAGACAAAATGTTAATTTTTGTTATATATTTTTTATGTATCATATTTGATGAATATTAGGCCAATTTAAATTATGAACAATTTATTGATCACAAAAAAGTATCAAATTTATTTTTCATTGCATTTATGATCTTTGAATCATTTCAATTAATTTAATAATAATAATAATATTAATAATAATAAGATTGATGGATGGATGGATGGAAGGAAGTTTCTAGTTCTGTTTTGTGGTGGTCAAACACGGAGTTCCAGTGCCAACAAAGGATTAAATCACATTCTAAATATATATACAGTGGTGTGAAAAAGTGTTGGCCCCCTTCCTGATTTCTTATTTTTTTGCATGTTTGTCACACTTCCCCAAACTGTTGAAAGGCAGTGTGTGTGTGTTTAATATATTAAGGTAGTATAATATATATATATATATATATATATATATATATATATATACCCAGTTTTTTCTTTAGAAATGTAAAAAATAATAATAATAATAATGTTTTGAAATAATAATAATTATAATAATGTTTTGAAATAAATTAAACCGTCTCATCATCCATCTATTACAGCTGATTCCTTGGATTCATAAGGATGTCGAGATTTTGTCCATCAACTCCTGCCTTGTCCCATGAACGTCTGGAAGGCGCAGTGTCGTCACCGGTTCAGCTCCAGGATTCCCCTCCACCCCGTGTTTCCCACCGACACCACAATGCCACGCATATCGTCCAGCTCCCTTATTTGCCAAACTTTTATTGTCGTCACGCTAAGAAACGAGACCGTTATCAAACAGGTCCAGGCCTGGAGTCCACCCTCTTCCTGTGGCGAGAGCGTGGGAGGCCGCTGAGAAGTGTGCTTGAGTCCTACACCCCGTCACGACTCGCTGACCGCTGACTTCCACAATGAACCGTACGCTTTCTCTGATTTCCCAACTCTTTAAGTAATTGAGTTTAATGCGATCTGAGCAGGCAGGTGGTTTAGTATGCACTGGTAATGGGGGACTGATGTGGTCTTGGGCTTTGACACACACCGCTCACATGAGCTCTACTGTATGCATGGCTTCTGAAAACCATGTTTAACTACATTGGCACTAAGAGTATCTGCCCTGTGTATGATTAACAGGCGAGTATTACATAACTAGATATGAACCTACTGATCACTCGACTGAACCCTTTGGTTGTCTCTGTTGCTTTTCCGAAACTGCAGAAGGTTTAATAGATGCTGAACAGTTCTGATGGATTTTGACTTGGCATCCTTATTGAGCTTTGTTTGTTTTGATTGCCTTTTATTTCCTAAATGCCATTATAATGAGGTTATTTCTTTCTGTGATTGCTGAAGAATATAATTGCCCTGCAGTACCAAATAAAAGAAAAAAATTATCATTTTGATATATTGATCCAGCAATTTGACCTCTAAAATTGCTATCGTTATTCTGGTTTATCAGTTTAGTCATAGAAACTCACACACAATATACTGTATGTAGGTTGTATTTAAAAAAATAAAATAAAAAAAAAAGCTAAATGGGTGAATGCTGAAAAAAAAAACGACTCATTACTGTAGTGCAAAATAATATCTTTTTTTGAGAGAATTATTATTATTATATATAAACGCTTGACTATTTTTATTAAATAAAAATATTCAGGCTTGTTACAGTAATGCAAAAAAATAAAAAGTCAAAAATATATTCTGGCTCTGTAATGAAAAATAAAAATATGACTCATTACCAAAATGCAAAAATAATAATAATAATTCTGACTAATTACCAAAATGCAAAAAAACTCTTTACTGTAATATAATTGAGAATAAAATGTACTATCTCAAATAAAACATCCAGATGCATTACATTAATGAAAATGAAATATTTAAAAACATTATTTGTTATTAACTATATTTACTTAAGTTGTGCTAAATTTTTATGAAATGACCAAATTATATATATTTTTTGTTCTTTTGATTTACTGAAAAAAAATAAAAAAAAATAATAATAATAAAAAGTTCTTGACAGGTTTTACAAAATTCACCCAAATACTGACACAGCATTGTTTTTTGGAAACAGTTCTTCAATGCAACACTGTTTCTGCCTGGATGCATATTAGACCCTTTTCTGGCTACTGTGTTTATTCTCTTGTACAATCAGTTTGAGATCTGTTTCTGAGCTGTTCCCATCATTCACATGGCCTGCCCTTGACTGAAGGATGTCAGGAAATGTGTTGAGTTCTTGTAGTCTTTCAAAAACAGTGCTGGACACATTGAACAGAAAAGCACTTATTTCTTAATTGGTACCAATTTTTAATGAAACAAATTGAAAGGTCTGGTTTGGTCCTGCAGTGTCCCATCAGTCATCGACATGGATTGCACACGTTCATACGGTCATGTCAGATATAGTTTAATCCTACATTTGTACATTCTCAAGCACAAGTGCTTTGATTTTCATCATTGTTGAACTTAGTTTTTTTGCTTCGTGCGTTTTGAGTAATTTGACAATTTCTGTTCATTTTATTCCTCCACAAGATTTTTTTTCTTTTCCTAAATATAAATGTGCGTGTTCTTCAAATGAAAATGTGCATATTTGTCAGTCATTAAAATGTTGGTATGAACTTGTTCTTTGAATTTGTTTTTAAGTAAAGAAAGTGACATACTCTTACAGAAAATACCGTGATATAATTACGTGACATTACTACATTAAAACTGCCAATACTGTCATCGAAGTGACAACATAGCAGCTTATACTGTTATTAAAAGGCTCGTTCATATCACACCATCAACTGATAACTGTTTTCGTGTTCGAGTTTAAAATGTCGACGCGCCGCCATCTTGGAGCGGTCAGTGTGTCGTCACTCACAATAAAAAATCAATTCGTTTCAAGATGCCACAACATTGCACAGCCTCTGGTGGAAAAAAACATGCCGAAATTAAAATTCATGAATAAATTGGATAAATCAGAGATTTCGCCAAGAGCGTCAAAATAGCTAGAAACGACCCTGTCTGGGCCAAAATTGTTAATAAACGTTAACGTTTGACACAAAAATGAAAACCAACAAAAACACTGACCGCGTTTACAAACACAGTACCGGGAGGCGCAGCCGTTTAGAGGTCATTTCCCGTTAATGATGTCAGAATTTACCGGTATTCTGAAAACGGTGCTTTTTGTATTTACCGGTAAAATCGGTCCAGTAATTTTACGCCAATTTTCTGGTATTACTGTATGATTAAAACCTTTATGAAAACTTTATTGTTATCGTTGGTATGAACGGCCCTTTTCAGCACGTGCTTTTAATAAACCGAGCTTTATCATCCTGGTTTGTGCGCTAGTTACATAACAGTTTTAAGGGTGATTGGGACAGTTTTTGAATTTCCGCCTTGTGCAAGGTTTCTTGCCATAAATTAAAAACATCAGCCCAGCACATGATACATTTCTGTAATACTGAAGATGTTAACTACTCATTTGAGGAGGAGACAATGTTATATTATTATAATGAAAGGATGCGTGACGTACACTTTTCTGTAAACAGGCCTGAAGAATCACCTAAAGTTCATTCAAAGGAGAAACACATTCATGTTCTTTATGTGGAAAGAGTTTTTCACTGCTGCAGAGTTTAAAAGTTCATCAGAAGATACACACTGGTGTGAGAGATCATATGTGCTTTGAGTGTGAGATTTCTGTAATGCTGAAGATGTTAACGACCCATTTGAGGAGGAAACTATGTTATATTATAATGAAAGGATGTGTGACGTACACTTTTCTGTAAACTGAGCCAAAAAATGTTTTTTGGGTAACGTTTGGCTGATTGGGACAGCACATCTTTTCATTGATTTAGGGTAGTGTAAGAATATTTACTGAATTGCACAAGTTAGTTCATGCTTTGATATAATTGTATATGCAATATTTCCTTTTCTGTTCATCAGCATTTAAAATAGTCCATGCTTATTTCTGTTCAACTGTATTTCTCAGTTCATAAATCCATCCACAATTCATACAACACGTTACAACACATGCAACTGAGGTAAAAGACGGCTTGAAGTCCAAAAGTCATTGAAAACGTTTAAAAATCAAATAGACAAGAAAAAAAAAAAATATATATATATATATAAAATATGTTGGGTGGCCCCATCACCAATTAACACATTTAACCTGCAGCACAAACCTTTAACAGAAACATGAATATGGTTTATTACTGCAACAAAATCGGTAAAAAAACAAAAAAAAACGTTTATCTATAATGCTTCTAATTCAGAATTATTTTTTTAGCTAAATCTAGCTAGTTTGTGAATATTTTTGTGGTTGATTAGGGCTTGCATAAATAAAAAGGTTGGAAACCACTGATTTAGGGCATACAGAGCATATACAATGGTTCTCTGTTACAAGGTCAATCTTCTTAATTAGCAGAGCCTTTAAGCACTGCCCCAATCACCCAAAAGTATGCTGTCCCATCCACCCAAACACAGGACAAAATAAAAACAACCCAATTCTGAAAATAGAAACATGATATTAGCACATTTCTTTACTGATTTTGTAGAAGTAGTGCATCATATTTATGTTTGCATCAAAAGTTTGTATATTATAGTAGCTATGACACTTTTAGGACCTTATTATGAAAACTAGCAAAAGCTTATGTCATTGCCCTCAGTTCATGCGTTTCAGGGTCAACTTCCTGTTTGATGCCCCGCCCACCTACATGATGTCACACCAATGAGGGCATCCCGTTTTAATTATGTGGTCTTACAGCTAGGGCTCAGCAAAAAACAAAAAAAGGTTTTATTTTAGGTGAGAAAATAAATTCTGTATAGTTATTCTGTCCCATTTTACCTTATTCCATCAAAAGTTTGTATAATATAGTAGCTATGAGAATTTTAGGACCTTATTATGAAAACTAGCAAAAGCTTATGTCATTGTCCTCAGTTCATGCGTTTCAGGGTCAACTTCCTGTTTGATGCCCCGCCCACCTACATGATGTCACACCAATGAGGGCATCCCGTTTTAATTATGTGGTCTTACAGCTAGGGCTCAGCAAAAAACAAAAAAAGGTTTTATTTTCACTCATTAGGTTATGTATAAAAAATACATTCTGTATAGTTATACTGTCCCATTTGACCTTATGTCCCAATCACCCTTTTATGTAAGCGGGTCTTTTTACACTGGCAGAGCCCCCAAAATAAAAATTATTTTACAGTAATAAGCGTAACTGAAAACAGTTTTTTAGACGGTATTACTAGATTTGAGTATGTACAGTAAACGTACAGCAAGAGTTCTGAAGCACACGTGACTCGCCTCAAGCAAAGCGCATGTCAGAAATCAACCACTAGATGGACGCAATTCACAAACAAATAAAATAAATAAATGCAACGAACACAAACTCGACCCATACATTGAATTCACTGGGAAGAATGAACTTTTTAAGCTTTAAAAATACATGTAAAAAGCACAGAAATATATATATTTGCGTGGTCGATGTCCATGAATGATTTTTAAAGCGCGAAACTGCATCAGTCCTTTCACTGAATAACCGCGGGAGGGAACCTCTCCTCAAACCCGGATCCTGGAGTTCTTCGATAGCTCCCCGAAACCAAATCCAGTGTATTTACTTCACGCATTTCACAAGTGTATATTTATATCGAGCTAATCTGCAATCTTTGATGCTGCTCCGAAATTGCGTACTATGTGGTGTAGCGTGTCAGAGAGGTTTTGGAAAGAGGGGACGAGAGGACTGGATTCACTGGCCGTGTCTGCAGTCTCTCGGGCGGCGGAAGTCACCGTTGCTATGAGACACGAAGCTTGCTTTCCTCCAGGGGGCGCTCGAGGGCTCAAACAACCGAACCGCCATTGAGCCGCATTCAAATCTCAAGACTATTTTTATCTTACTGAACACATCTGCACACTAAAAAGTAAAATTATTTAAATATGCTACATTCAATGAGTGATGCCTAAAATGGAGGTCCAACCACAATCTCTAAAGAAAAAAATGTACGCACTAATCGCAAACGTCTGTGATTGGTCCAGCGCTGAGAAAAGTAACATCGCTAACCGCTGGACACTAAACTGTCTGAAAAATGACACCGAATTGCACGGCGTCGAGTAAAAACCTGGATAATAATAATAATTAATAATAATAATAATAAGATGCAGTAAACTACTTCAGTCGTATAACCACACCCCCTTTCTACAAAGCACCGCCTTAGAAAGACACGTCAGCCAACCCGATGCCAGGAAACGTTAACGCTCAAAATGATTGACAGGCGAAGTTAACTGACTGGCTAAAAGTAAGTCCCGCCCATTTTATAACCTAAAGAGCCATGGAAATTTTCATTCCACTCAGGATTATTCCATTTCTGTTCTTCAGGACGAAACTCGTGGGCAAAAGTGCAGTCTGGATAGTCAGCGCACTGGGTTTCGAGACGTAGCCTCCACTCATCAGGTCAGTCCGCTCGCTAATGCTGGAGGAACTAACCGTTACACCTTTTAAACCCATTTCTAAAACCCATTTGGCGCCGCATCTCTCATGTGTGGAGTTCATCCGGGATTCTGGAGTGATTTGAGCAGAAGTTTGCGCTCTTTCTGTTTTTACAGGAGCTAATGCTAGCCTGCTAGCCCTTTAATCTGTGTTTATAAACCTGATCAAGTCAACATGAAGATTGCTGTGGATTTCGAGGAATGTCTCAAGGATTCCCCCAGATTCAGGTGAGAAACTCGTTTAGTATGTATGCGTTTGTTTGGGAGTAAATGGGGAAAGTACAACATAAACGTACACTTAAAAAATATATGTATGTATGCATGTTTAAATGTGCTATTTTGTTTTATTCCATGTAAATAATTTCAGCAGTTCGTTTGTTTTACTGATTTATTGAAGATTACTGAAATATGAAGATTTTGGGCTTTAAATTTTAATTTCTGTTGTATCTGGTTGTGTTGGGTCCTGTTATTGGACAGGAATGTGGGCTGCTGACTGAAAGATTGTAGGTTCAAACTACAAAAAGTCTGATGAAAAAGTGTCCCGACACCAGGATTGGGCCTTTGAGCAAGACATTTAAAGGGACAGTTCACCCCACCCCGCATACAATGAAAGTGGATGGGGACTGGAGCTGTCAATGTCCAAAAAAAAAAAAAAAGTGCACCATAAACCTGTCATAAGAAATAGTCCATATGACGTTTACTATGGCAAATATGCTACAAAGTTTAGAAGGCTTAGACTATACAAGTTATATGGGCATTTTTTTTTTTTGTAGTTTGACAGCCCCGGTCTCCATTCACTTTCATTGTATGTAAACTAGCAGTGTGACGATATTTACGAAGTAAGAACGTCATACTTTAGAAAGACACGAGGGTGAGTAAAACTGAACTGTTATAGAATATATATTTCACTTCAGGTCATTCCAGAAACACTAAACCTGTATGAAGTGAACTTGTCTAAATGACTAATCACTAAGAGTCCTTATATATCTATAGAGTAGCGCGAGTGAGTCTCTGTGAAAGTGTTGAAGAATTATTAATGCTTTCTGCCGCTTCATCTCCCCCGCCTCTCTCACAACAACATCCTCTCAGAAATAAGGAGCAGATGTTTATGGAAAAACTTGGAGAAAGACGTTTTAATTTCCTCGCTTTTCGGTCAAGAGGCGCCCTGGGTTTAGCTGAGAGGATGTGAAACCACTGGACGGTTGCACTTAATCATGCTATTTCTTACGCAAAGTGAAAAAGTACTTCATTAACCACTAATGTTTACATTTTCAACAAGACAATATGCTTGTCTGTGTAAAACGGACAATAGTGATCATTTCCTCAATCCCTGACTGAAACGTTTCTCATCGGGACTGTTTTCTATAAAGACTGTGATGATGAAGGAAAAAGTCTCCAAAGTTATGAATTATTATAATTAGAGGTCGACCGATAGTGGATTTTACCGATACCGATAGCTAGGTTGGACCACACTGGCCGATACCGATTAATCAACCGATAGTTTTTAAAATGGTAAACGAAAACTAAAACAGCGCTTTACTATTTTTTAAAAAGCAGTATCATTAATATTACAAAAGGACTCTTACTGTAAAGTATTACCATTTCATTTCAACAGTCATGCTTAAAGATAGCCATCTTTAAATATCTACACAAGGCCATAGCATTAAAATTAAATAAGCACAGTTTACAATGGAAGGCGACAAGCCTGATCCAGTTCGTTTGCTAACTCCGATGGCTGTATTACCAAAGAGTATAGAAGCCCAAGAGGCGAAACTCAATAGAACGCTCCATAGCAACAGTTGCGCCCATGACGTGACTGTGCCGCCGCCATTTTGGGCTGAAAACTAAACAAAAACGCCGTAGAATAATAGGAGCCAGTCGCGCTTGACCAACTTACAATAACACATTTAAAGTATATGTATATGTGTATGTGTGTATATATATATATATATATATATATATATTATATAATCACAACAATAAAACAAGGAATTTAAAACTTTGAAAATTATTTAAAAAATTGATTTAAGAGGTTTAAAATGAATTTAAGAAAACGATTATACATAGAATATAGTGCAATCAGTTCGGACATCGCACAGTGCTCATTCAATGAATGCACAGCTAAACAGATGAGTTTTGAGTCTGCATTTAAATGTGACTAATGTTTTAGCACATCTGATCTCTTCTGGAAGCTGATTCCAACTGCGGGCGGCATAATAACTAAAAGCAGACTCCCCTTGTTTTGTGTGAACCCTTGGTATTTCTAACTGACTTGATCCTAATGATCTGAGTGGTCTGTTAGGTTTATATTCAGTGAACATATCTGCTATGTATTTAGGTCCTAGGCCATTGAGTGATTTATAAACGAGTAAAAGTACTTTAAAATCAATCCTAAATATAACTGGAAGCCAGTGTAAGGACCTGAGGACTGGTGTAATATGCTCAGATTTTCTGGTTCTAGTCAGAATTCTGGCAGCAGCGTTCTGGATGAGCTGCAGCTGTCTAATGGTCTTCTTGGGAAGGCCGGTGAGGAGACCATTACAATAGTCCACCCTGCTGGTGATAAAGGCATGAACAAGTTTCTCCAAGTCTTGACTGGAAACAAAACATCTAATTCTTGCAATGTTTTTGAGATGATAGTATGCTGATTTAGTTACTGCTTTGACATGACTACTGAAACTAAGGTCTGTCTCCAGAATCACACCAAGATTCCTGACTTTATTTTTAGTTGTTAGACCCCTAGAGTCAAGGTATGCATTCACCTTGAGAACTTCATCTTTGTTTCCAAATGCAATGACTTCAGTTTTTTCCTTGTTTAACTGAAGAAAGTTCTCGCACATCCAACTGTTAATTTCATCAATGCATTGGCAGAGGGAGTCAATGGGGCTGTAGTCATTTGGAGATAAGGCTAGGTAAATCTGGGTATCATCTGCATAGCTGTGATAGGCGATTTGGTTCTTTCTCATTATTTGACTTAGTGGGAGCATATACAGGCTAAACAAGAGCGGTGCAAGAATTGAGCCTTGTGGGACTCCGCATGTCATGGACGTCCACTTAGACTTATGCTCTCCTATACTCACATAATAACCTCTCCCTTCTAAGTATGACCTGAATCATTTGATTACCATCCCAGAAAGCCTGACCCAGTTTTCCAGTCTCTCTAGTAGTATGTTATGATCGACAGTGTCAAACGCAGCACTGAGTTCTAGTAGTACCAGCACTGATATTTTTCCAGATTCAGAATTTAAGCGAATATCATTTATTATCTTAATGAGCGCTGTCTCTGTGCTGTGATGCGGTCGGAAACCAGATTGAAAATTGTCCAGGTATCCATTTGAGTTTAAGTATTTGTTCAGCTGATTAAAGACTACCTTTTCAATAATCTTTCCTATAAAAGGAAGGTTTGATATTGGTCTATAGTTGCTCAATATGGTGTTATCAAGATTGCTCTTTTTCAGAAGGGGTTTAACAACTGCAGTTTTCAGGGAGTCTGGAAAAGTCCCAGAAAGAAGTGAGGCGTTCACCACTTCTAAGAGATCTGCTTCCAAACAGTTAAGCACCCTTTTGAAAAAAATAGGATTTTTTTTGCATTGCATTGTTTTTTGCAGAAATAAGTATGTCAACTTAACATGTTTCCTAAATATCTGCAAATGTATTATGGTGTTTTTATGCTTTAGTGCAGTCAAAAAATTACATACAGCATCTTTTAGATTAAGTTAAAATTAAGTACTCAAATGCATTCATAGTGCAACGAAAATATTATATTACGTAATATATTATTCAAATATATTACTAGAAAACCTATTATTATTATTATTAGAAAATTATATAAATTTGTTTAAAACCACATGAAACAAACAATTTCCTTTTCATCTTTCTCTTGTTTATGGTTACGCCCCCATGAAATTTTTATAAAATTGAATTAAATCAACTTTTTTATTTTTATTTATTGAAAATGATGTGTAAATGTTTTTTAAAACCACACGAAACCAACATTTCTCCTTTTCATCTGTGTCTTGGACACTCTTAAGCCCCTTTCACACGGCGCGTTGATCCCTGATAACTGCCAGAGTGTCTTCTGTGTGAACGCTAACACGTCCCGGGATCAGTCCCAGAATGAGCCCTGTGTGAACAAAAGCCAGGACCAATGCTGTTAAAGGGTGTGTCGTAGTGATGGCGCACGTTAACGTGCGACTATTTTACCAGGTGTTTTGAAGACAGTTCAACGTTCACGCCGAAAAAATATGTGCAAACTGTAATGAAGCAGCGATCAGGGAGCTCCTCACTATCCGCGCTGAAGCTGAGATCCTTCGCCAGCTTTAGTGGAACGGAACGCGTCACATTACACGTCAATCCTAATGTTACGTGTCCTTATGGGATCTTTACACAACCCTCTACGGACACCTTGGCAATTGAATCGCCATTGGCTAGTACATTTTTTTGTTTACTTGCCAGACTGAAATACTATACTATACTAGACTAGACATATATATATTTATATATATAAATAAATAAAGTTATGCCATTTTACAAACATATATAATGTTTGTAAAATGGTACAGCTTTTTAAATATCTGAAAGTACACTCTTAATATCAGTCAAGCAGTCAAGCATTAATTATAATATGATAATCAAGTATTATTTAATAATAGAAGTTTAGTAATTAGAATTAAAACTTGGTAACCATGAACTTAGAGGACTGGTGCTGGTGCTTTTTTTGGTCATTCAGTGTTCCTGTAAAAAAAAAAAACTCTGCTAATCATATACTCAGCCTCCAACTCACACACTGGCGAGTAAAATCTGAGAATTTATTAGCCATTGGCTAATATTAGACATCATTTAGTCGCCCAGAGTGAAGATTTAGTCACATATGCGAGTGATTTACTCGCAATGTAGAGGGTTGTTACAGGATGTGTGTAAACCGAGCGGCAACCTTCCGGTCTCTCTCGTGAAGCCAACACGGAAGTGACTAAAACTGCAATTCATCGACTGGCCGCTAGAGGCTGGCTCCAAAAGGGAGTCAGTCCCATGGACTCCCCATGTTAAAATGCCCAACTTTACAGCAGAACATTTTTTTTTACAGCCTGGTACAAAAAGTGGTTTTGGTCTATAGCTAATTTTGCCCTTCAAGACAACTGTGAGGGGGGTGAATTTTTTTATAACTTATCCGTTTACATTATATTAAGCCTTAAAGTTCTGCATAATTAAGGGCGCGGCCACTTGAGTGA